CCGGCTGCGGCCGGACGGGGTGCGCATCCCACCGGCCCGGCGCTCGGCGCGCGGCGAAGGCTGCCTGGCCCTTTAAGAAAGTTCATCGAAGTTTCCAAAGTTTTTTCGCGGAAAAAAAAAAGCGCGGGGGTGGGAGCGGGGGGGGCAGCTGGCGGCTGGGATTGGCTGCGGGCTGCTCCGGGAGGCTGTGATGCAGGGCGAGGGGCCGGCCTGACCCCCCCCGCCGCCCAGGGGCTGGGAGAGCTGCTGCTTTTCTTCTCCCCGCAAGTGCCGTTGATGAGCGGGTCGGGACGGCGCTGGGCTGCGCTCGGGCCCGGCAGCTGCGGCTGGTTGGCACCTTCCCCGCCCCCCCCGGCCACCTCCAGGTGACCCCAGCGCGCTTACAAATAGCCACGCGGCCGCCGCTCCCACCTGCACCGCGCACCGAGCTCCCCGCCCCGCACCGCCCCGCGCACGCCACCCGCACCCGCACGGCCCCGCGCACCAGGAGGGCAGGCAAGGACTGAGCGAGCGAGGGAGAGGACGGAAGAGGGGAGCGGAAAAAGCAGCCCCTCGTCCCGTGCGGGCTCTGCACAAAGACGGTCCCGAGGAGCCGGGCGAGCCCGCTCTGCCCCGCCGCCCCCACCATGAGCAGCCTCAACAAGGAGGGCGAGCACAGCAACAGCAGCACCAGCATCGAGGAGGAGGTAGGGCTGGCCCTGGTCTCTTCCCGAGCACCTGGGGCTGGGTCCTGGGGGCTCGGGGGTCCCGGAGGAGGGGCAGAGCCCAGCACTTGGCTGTGCTGGTGTTGGGGTGTGGGCTGCCCTGTGGCTCCCTGGCTGGCCTGGCCCGTCTCCAGCTTAACTCGGGCTCCTCCTGCCCCTGTTGTGGGGTGCTGGGGTGGGAGGTGTGGCGGCTCCTCCATCCTTCACATCTGCCTGCTGTGCAGAGGTGCCCTGGGATGCAGAAGCCCTGCACGCGGCTTGTCTGGGCTGGGGAGCTGGACCTGGAAGGGCCTAACTGAGGGGACAACAGGCGCAGGAGAAAGAAAAGAAAATCCTAAACTTTTTCTAAGCATCTCTTGTGCAGGCGACTCACGGCACAGAGCGAAGCCGCTCCAAGTTTTGTGGGACTTGTGCCGTGTGCCCAGCTCTGAGTGGGGGGATGAAATGTTTGTCTTCAGGCTTGGCACCACGGGTGGGCTTGTTGTGGGTTCCTCTCCCCCCTTCTGTTTAATGCTAGCTGCTCTCTGGCTTGCAGAGAAACTAGGGGAAAGCAGGCTGTCTTGGCAGGCAAGCCAAGACAGCTTTGCTCAACTCTCAGGCCTGGCAGTCTCTCCATTGCCTTCCTACAGGATGGAGTGAGTACCTGCAGTAGTGAAAAGATGCTACTCATGTCCATACTGCAGGGGACTCTCCCTGGGGTGGCTGACCAAGGGTCTACTGCACAGCCCCCCTTGAGGAGAAGGGTAAACACCCCTTCTCTCTACCTGGTCACCTGTGCCGTCCAGTGAGGGAAACATGGGGGGAACTTTGAATGCCACCAAATTATCCCAGTCCCATCACTATTGGGGTGGGCTCTGAAGTGCCACCCTTAACGGGTGCCTGGTTTACCTGCCTTTGTCGTGCAAGGATTCTTGGCACATGATAGACAATATGGTGCTTTGAATGTGGCATCCTGTTCACCTGGGAACATGCTGAGACTTCCCCAGCCCCGGTGGCTTTTTCTTGTAGACCAGGCTGAGAGGTCTGGAAACATCATCTGACCTGCAATGTGGCTTTTCTCCCTCCCACCCCACCCCACTGCCTTGACCTTGGTGGGGGGGAATCTGCTGGCCAGGTGTATGATAGTGCTAGTGCTGTGCTGATGGAGGTGGGGGGTGGGTTTAGGGTGCCTACTCCTACTCCAGACTGGGTGCCAAAGCTCCCATGACTCAAAGGACCCCCTTGCCCTGCAGCCTTTCAAGACCTGGAACTTGTGTGGCTGTCCAGGCTGCCTCTGCTTGCTGCGATGTAAGCATGCATTTGGCTGTCTATATATTGGAGACCATGAGCTTTACAGCAGCTCTTTGGATGAGACAGTGCTGTGTATGGGATGGAGGAAACATGGGAGGGGATGTCAAGTTTGCTACTCTTCTTCCCCGGTTCTCTTGGGTGGACTCTACCTGGTTTTGTGCCACACCAAGCAGTTGGTGATGGTGACTGTTCCAGTCCTGTGTGGGGACAGAGGGGTTGAACTGAGGCATTGTTCCCCTGCATGTAACCTGTTCAGCACAGCTGGGTGGCCGCACTATTCCTGCTTCCTCGTAGCTATGTGCTGTGGGTGGTGGGAGAGCTCCTGCTGGCTGCCGTAGCATCCACCTCTACCTGAAAGTCGGTCTCTTCTTCTGGTAATGGCTCCCCATGCCCTCCTGAACTCTGTCCGGTTCCAAGGAGTCTTTGAAGAAAGCTGGAAGATGGTGGCCTTCCATGCGCAGTCTGAACCATTCTTTGCGCATCGCCGTGGGAATGCGGTGAGGCAGCGTTCTCCATCTTTCACGACAGATGCTTTTCTTCTCTCCGCCTCCTGGAGAGTCGTGTAGCAGGGCTGGTGTAGAATGGTGGCCGTGTTCTTTTTCTACCCTGGGGTGTTGGGCAAATGATCCCTGCATATAGGTAGTGTGCGCTGCTGTCTGGATCAATATAATCCTCCGAGGTGCTCTGTTTAACGTAGAATTGCTTGGTGGGGGCTATGAGAGAGCACAATGCCGCTTGCAGAGCAGCTTGGAGGTGTTAGTGGTGAGCGGAGTGAAATGGAGTCCAGCAGTCAATGATGGATGACACCTGCTCTTTCTTCTGAATTTTCTGTTTTTAGGTAAAGATCTTCTTTTCTGGCGAAACCCTCTATAGCACACGGCATGCAAGAGATCTGATGGTGGGGGAGCAGTGACACTGCACAGCACACATGCAGTGTCTAGTGAGCTGACTGAATCACGGGTTTCTTTCTGGGGGGCACTTCCTTTTATGCACACCTCTGTAAGTCAACAGAGAATAGGCACATCTGGTTAATGTTCTCCTGATGCAGGAAGAAGTGCTAATAGAAAATACCAGTCCAGCAGAAATGGTACCCAGCACCCTAATTTGACTCTTCATTGGCCTGCGAAGCCCCACAGGGAAATCCATGATGCTCCAGCCCAGTGTGCCAGGTCACAGAATTGACAACCCTGCAGCTTGCTAACAAGCGTTGTAAAAAGTAATTTTTGCAAAACTGGACATCTTTTTAATGTCACTTCTCAGTGCTGCCTCTGCTGAGGGTTGTGTAGCTCTCAGTCAGTGGAGTGGGCACTGGAAAGCCCAGTGTCCTTCAAATACCATTTGCACTGTGACAACGTTCTTTTGCAGTGCGAGAAATCGGGGAAGTTTGGTTCATCCAAAAGTGACAACTGAGGCTAGAACAGGGCTGGCTGCTTTGGAGAAGACTAGCATCTACAGTGGGATCAAGCATGTGTCTTTGGGGAGGGATAGAGCTGGCAAGTGAGAATAAAAGTGTTGCCCCTTCTATTTTGATTGGGTACAGGTGTGGCCAGTCTGCAGTTGTTGGGGTATAGGCAACTGCAGGGTAGGGTATAGCTGTACCATCAAGGACTCAAAGTAAACCCAAATGGCTTTGATCAATGGCCACAGTGTTTATAGTGGGTCTCTTCTGCTGTCCTTGTTTGGAGCAGTGTCATCAAGAGGTATTGATGGGTGGGTCATGCCTGCTAAGCATTTCCTGTAGTTCTACACAGAAGGGGCATGGGGAGAAGAGGCATCTTGGGTGTAAAGGCTCATTCCAGGATGGAGCCCTGCCCTATGGAAAAGGGGCAGAACTGCAGCTGATGCAGAGTAGCCTCTTGAGCCAGGTGTGTTCCTTAGATTGCAGCCCTTCTACCAGGGTTTTGGTCTTTCTCTTCTGTACTGGTGCCTTTAAAAGGATCACCTTGGGTGACTTCCCTTCTCCCACTTCCCCCTGGCCTTCCATTCCTCAGTTGTCATCTCTCTTCAATGTACGTGTGAGATTACGCATACAGGAAATAGATGAATTGCAGAGTAACTTGTTTTGCTGCTGTCTTAATGGTGTTTCATGGAACACTCTGGGACAGAAATAAGTGACTTGAAACTGGTGATGGTTTGTTGGGCGAGCTTAAACTCTTTCAATGCAGGGTCTTGGCTGACTGGAATTCACTCGGCTGCAAGCTTGGCAGCAAGGACAGGGCCTCTTCCTCCGTACCACATCTAACGCTTCTGCCTTCTATGGTGCCGTGTTTTGCAACAGCTCTGTTCTTGGTGTGCCCCTGATTTAGTCTCTTTCTAGACCTGCCTCTGCACTGGCCAGCTTGGCCTGCTCCTGTTGTTCTGAAAACTTTTTTAGCAAAACTGGTCCACGGTCGCCCACTAGGTTCTGGCACTGCTGCCTCTAGTTATCTTCGCTTTATAGAACAATTTCCCTGCCCCCCCACACACTCCTTGATCTCTTCCCAGATGCAGTGCTTTTTGTGGTTCCCAAACTTGGCCTCTCTGTCTGTCTAATCTCTAGGTCCCTAGCTCTCACAGCACTTCCTGATTAGTGAAATCTGCAAATGATAGGAATGTGCCTCTTGCTGCC